AAATAATTCTAGATCTGATATTTGATACTTCCTTTAGTCAAGAACATTTATTTCGCTAAAACCTTTAATTTTTTAAATAATTTCATAGTTGTTATAGATAAGATTAAATTTGAACTTTCTTAAGAGAAAATTTTAAGAGTTAAAAAAAACCTAACTCGATCTTTTAGTCCTATCTACCTAAAAACCAATGAGATTACAATAATAATTTTCATTCTAATAATTACCTAATAAAGAATTAGTATATATACTTTTTGAGAAATTATAATTTCTACTCAAGAGATGATTACTTTTGGAGGTTAATATCTTATAGAATTGGCTATTTTTTTTTAAATTCTGAAAAAAATTTTCTATTTCGAATTTCAAATAAACTATTGGTGTGATTTGAAAAAATACTTCAAATTTGATAATTTTTTTGGCTTTCAATTTTGTAATAAATGCTTCTATAATTTGATTTAGTACCTAACATGTTCAATAAAATTTTTATTATTATCAAAATTGTAGACTAATTGAGACTATGAGCTTTCTTTCTAACAAAAATTTCTACTTGCATAAAAAATTTATTCTCTTTGAAGACCATTGAAATTCTAATGATTAATTTGAAACTTCGACTTTGGTTTCTTTAAATATAGTTTATATACGTTACTATGATGTCATACCTATTTGATAAACATTGTTTCCACTTTTAACATGCTTAGATGTATTAAAATGACAAATTTACACGGAGAAATTACTATGGGTGTATAGTAAACAAAGAACAAACTGAATTTTCTTGGAAAACTCTTATAGAATGTATTAATTTATACATTATATGTAGTAATTTTCACCATAACCCACAGTAATTTTTTATCGAATGTATATTAAAAAGGTATGATGTTGCTCTCATTCTCGATCATTTTATTCCAGTACATATGTTTTCATTAATAGAATTAAAGACTATTCTAACTGGTTTAAATATGATCAACATGAAAAAAATCGACCAACTGATATATCAAAAGGACATTTAAGAAAAAAATATTCTATAAAGAGTGCTGCTGAAATGTTATGTTTCATCAAATGTTTACCATTTATGATTGGGCATTTGATTGATGAAAAAAATCAATACTGGGATTTATGTCTCAAATTAAAAAAAAATTGTTGAAACATGTACCAATAAAATGGTTCATGTTAATACTTATCGACAATTACAAGTTATATTTGAAGAATATTTTAATTTTTTCCCTACATCAACACTCACATCATTACCTCATCCATTATCCTCGCGTTATGGAATCTGTGGGCCCCTTATGGAATATTTCGTCTATGTCGTTTGAGCAAAAACATCAAGGAGGTAAAATTGCAGCATGTGCATCTATTAGTAAGATCAATGTATGTAAATCTATTGCAAAAAGACATCAGTTGAAACAAAATTATCGATTTCTCTACAAAAAAACATCAGCACCACAATTCCTTTTGGAAAAATTAAAAAACATAACTGTAGAATCTTTATCTCACTTTGAACTAGCAGCGCCTGTTCAAATACATTGTGTAAGTGTTTTTAAATCTGTAAGTCAGTATAATACAATTATTAAGAAAGATACTGTAATTGCTAAACCATCCGAAGATGGTCCAATATTCTTTGAAGTTGTTAAAATAATAATATGTAATAATGATCAAGTTTATTTAATTGTTAATAAGTTAAGTAACTTTTTTTTTAATGAATATTTTCAAGCTTGCGAAATGCTTAATAAAACAATAAAGCATCATAGTATTTAACGTTAGACAATATTGATATAAATAATCCATTTCTATCATGGAAAATAATTGTTGCTAAAAATGAATATATTCATTCGAGTCAAAAAATAAGACCTGATTTGGACTATTTTTCTTTGATGTCGGAATATCACGACAGAACAAGATCAGCACGGAGAAAAATAATCAGAGCTTTATTACTTGACTAATCAAGTAAACTCATTCTAGAAAATGTTGCTAGAATTTTAGTAAAATTGTATTGGTAGTATGACACTGTTTCTCATATTTTCTGATAAACAGTATTACCATAACCAAGCTGCGACAATTTTATATACATAAATATTTGAATCATTTCCAGTCGTTTCGGATTGCTAAGCAGGCTAAAGCATCAATTTAATTAGTTACTTTACTATAGAGAAGTTAAAGAATACAATATTTTCTGAACATTATCGCAAATGATATGTTAAATTAAAAAAATATATATTATTTCTAATTTTACCAAATTATTAATTTTTTTCAATACATTGTTGAATAATTTAATTATATTTGTAAAAATTACTTTCGAGTCAAGTAAATTTTACTAAAATTTATCGTAAATTTCAAGTATACTAGTTGATATATCTATTGACGAGAAATTTCTAGTAAATTTTGCTTGACTCGACGATCATCCATGTAAGTGAAGGAGTTTCTAGTAAAGTTTTCTAGAATTCTAGCGATATTGCCTAACTGTTTTCTCCGTGAGATTTAGAAAAATTTGAACTCGGTTTGGACATAGCTTTTCAAAATAAAATTACTATTATTTTAATTTTTAAGTCAAAGCCAGATCTTAGCTATAAGTGACCTGATTTAGACGATTTAAACTTCGTTTTGGTGTACTTTGATAGAATAATATTTTTTCTACTAAAGCTATAGTGTATACACTGAGAAAATTTTCCGTGAAAAATTACCCTTAACTTTGGGTTGACCGCGTGATACCTCCAGAATCTTAGAGATTTTATGAACTACACGTATAAATTATTACAAAACCATCTGGGTTAATTTTACCAAGCACGTTTAGTAAAATTTCTCCAACAAAAAAAATCTCTAGCTTTACAAATAAATGTTTCATTTATTAACAGTAAAAACAGTACAGTTTAAAAGTAATGATATTAAAATAGGTGACATCATAATATTACATTTAGAAGATGGGCCTGAATTGTACATTGTTCATTTAATAATAATTGATAAACACAATTTTTTTGAGAGGAAAGATGTTGAACGATGTCCGTTTTAATTTGCATCTACAGTTATATGAAATTTTATTGCCATCATTTTCATGGATTTGTAAAAATAGTAAAGATTTGCACGGTTGCATTATAAGCTACATTGTATGCGCTTCAAATAGTTGTAAATATATTGTAAATAGATAAGCTTATGTATTATGTTTAACAAATTATTATACTTTATGTAAATCTCTAAATAATAAAGCCATTAAAATCTACTTAAATATTTATCTAGTCAAAATAATACCCATTTATTTCATTACATACTTGTAAAGTTCAAATAATTTTCTAACACACATAAGATATGTAAAAAAAAATTTTCTCAGTGTACTAAGTTGAAAACAGGTTTTAATTCTTAAGAGGAATACAAGATCTGCTTTAGGCCTAATGTTAATAGCAAATAAAAATTCATGGGGAATACATGTATTTTAAATTAAAATTTAAGATAACCGAGTAGCTAGGCGTGTTAAGGCACTGCTTTCTCAAATTGAGCGGTTGCAGGCTCAAATTCCATTGGAAGAAGGTGAAGAAATTAGTACTTTTCTTAGAATCTCCAGTTAATTTGATAGTTTTTCTGAACGATTGAAATACAACATGAATACAATAATTTACCATTAAATTTTTTCTATTTGTGTTTTAAATTTACAGTCGAATCTCTCAAAATGAAACACTTCGGGACCAGACTCTCTTTCTAAATGTAACATTCCCCTAAAGCCCTATCCATCCCTACTTCTCGATTATATAGTCTATCTTTCTCATTAGTATCTATCTTCGTCGGCGCAAAGAAATGCACAGAAGTAAAAAAGTGAACATAACCTTCATCCCCAAACATAACTGTTTACATCCCATTAAAAATACAACCGTTAATATACATAATTATTTTATATTACAGTGACAACAATTAAAAAACTCAATCCTGAAATTGAACCTTTCCATATAAATATTTAAATCTTATCAAATAATATGTCGCGCCATACGTCTCAAATCTGATTGGTTAGTAGCATTCAGCCGGTGGGGATAGGGGAAGTTTTATTTGGAGAGATGACCTTGTTACATTTAGAGAGATTCGACTGTAAATTAAATGTTATTTGGCTCAAACAACATTTTTGTAGGAAGAAAGACATATTTATGCTTAAGTCGAAATCAGCTTTTGAAAACTTTTAGACCTGGTTTGGACTTGGGAAACAAGACTTAATTTTGGATCAGTTGTTGCGAATGTAGCTCCAAATTTGGTCAAGACAATTTTTAGTTTTGATCTACTTTTGTCCTTTTTTGAAAGTCGAAATAAAATCTTATTTTTCAACTCGGGTCCAAAGTTTCACATTTAAATAATTTTTTGTTGTTTTTATTCTTTCAACTAATTAGATTTAGATTTAAATCACCCATGACTACAAATATATATCCATATAATACATGAGACTGATAAACATAAGTATATATATATTTATTAGTTTCATTACAAAATTCGATAATTTTTACTAAAGACAGTAAAATTTTATCATATAACATTTTAGTTTTTACTGTATTATATTAAAATGAAACAACGTAACATTGTAATTTTTATGTTGAGATATTGAAAGTTTACAGTTTCTCAAAATATGACTTTTACTTTACCAGCCATGATAAAATTTACCATGCACATAGTAAATTTTACTTGAGTTTTAGTCTCTTCCAGAATCACTACAGAACATAATAAAAATTATTTGAATTCCGTAATGAAATTTACTTTAACTTTCTCTTTGTGTAAAATTACAGTGATATATTTAATGATATATATTTAAACTATACGGATTTGGTAGAAATATATTACATAAGAAACAGTGATCACAATAATGTTTTACTTTTATTGAATTCCATTTGAATCTTAATATTCTCAAAGACAATATAATATTAAAGTTTAAATGTATTTGATACGATTGATTAGTGTACTTATTTTTTCAATTTCTTACTTTTTATTTAGAACTTTGAACATATCAATGATGTAAGAATTTTCTTTATTGTCTGTTGCAGATTCTTCTATTTGTATCATTTTTCTTTCTATGCTTATCATTATCGGTTTAATGGACAGTATAGCAGTCTTGCACTCGTCACATCGTGGCTCTTTATTCAGGTGAGTTGGTCTCTCTACTCTCAGATTACATTTTGGTTGTCAGCTGCAAGTGACGTTTCCTTATACTATCTTGTCTACCTTCTTCTTGAAAGATCAAAGCTCTGAATTCACTCAAGCGTATAGAATTTCCTCAAATACTGTATTGTTTATAACTTTACTGTGTTATTTTACTTTATATCCTTTTTATCAACATATAATAGTTGTGATCCAACTTCGAATTTGTTTTCTTAATGTTTTCAATTAAGTACTATCAAAATTATAAAGTTAATAGATGCAACTAAAATCAATACATGTAATAATTGAGACTATTAAAACGTAAAAACTATGATATCTTCAATAACTTGGAAAACATGTTAAAGTAAAAACATTTCCTAAGCGAATGTGAGTCATATTATCAAATTTAATATTATTTTTAACGCTGCTAATCAAATTTCTTTTTTTAGTTGAATTTAAAAGCATATATGATTATACTTTCACAGTTTGAGTTATCAGAAAAAAATAATAAAAACATTTAAATGATGTAATTCGGTTTAATTAGTAGTATTAAAATCTAACAAAATGATATATAATTTAATAATAATAATTAAATTATATAGTTTGTTTTGGATTTATAGCAATCCAATATATAATCCCCTTATTCACAATTATTTTAATTGATTAGGTTGTCAAAAGCCTAACATCTCCAATGCTTTTATGTAACTTCTATGTTTCAAACGTAAAGCCTGCCAGTCCAATGGTCTCCTGCTATTTTGTTGTCATTCGAGGGTGCTTTCGCAGCCTTATTCCTGTCAATCGCACGGGCAGGCTTCAAACCACTATATATATATCTATACACATATCTATGTATTGCATATGCTCAATACACGATCGTCTTTATTCACAAATCTCATATGTATGTGTGTGTTCACACGGTTTTTACCAAATTTTGTGAATCATTTACGTAACAGCTGAGGTTTATGGTTAATATTTCATGTCTATATACACTCTTCGGTAGGATCGAAATATTCTAAGTGAACAATATTGTAACTTATACGACCCATAAATAAATCTTTAAATTTCAATGATTTCCATCACATGATTGGGTTGAGTTAACAATGTGTTTGTGATAAATTCTTTTCATAGAATTGAATAAATTAAATTACTCGCAATATCAAGTGGATTTTGTATTTCATGGATTATTGGATTATTTTCTGTAAAGTAAATTTTTTTTGTCAGTGATTCATTATTTTGAAATAAGTTCACGAAAAAATTTTGAATGTTACTAAACTACAATTTCTGTCATAAAAAATTAAAACGCTTATTATTGAATAGTCTATTTTCGTTAAAAATTACAAGTATAATTATTTTGTTTGGAAAATAATAATTATAATAATTACAATCGTTAAATTCAAAAAATTATATCAACTGGTGGGTAAAAAAATTTCGACATCAACTGAAATAGAGCCAGTGTCAAAGACTTCTTTCTACAAGAAACTCAAATTTTCATTGTACGCAAATGCTGCTAGGAATTATAGAAGCGATTTATTCCTTGTCACTAACAGATGCAGAAGGTGTCATAACTACCTATTCACAATATTCACTTTTTTTCTTGATGCTCAACTGAAGATGAAACTCTAATTTGAAAATATCATTCATGCTGTCATTATTTACTTGAGTTATTTTTTTTAGTGTAAATAACAACTCAGAGTATCACTTCTCTTCAAAATAACTTTTTGTTAAAATTACTTTAATATTTTACATGATTGAATAATAATCGAATAATTGATTAATGATTGCTGAAGTAAGATATCTATTTGATCTCCAATTAGTTTAGTATTTTACAAGTTTATTTATAATATATTTTCAGAATATTAAACATTGGTTCCAATTGAAGATTATTTATTTAGTAACCAAATTGATGTGATAACTTTTAGTAACTTTAATGTGAATTTTAAAAAATATTTAAATAATTTCTATAAGCAATTTAAATAGTTCATACACGGAGAGAAAGGAATTATAAAGTTTACTCCAAAAAATAGTAGTCTGTCGCTTCGGTTACAAAAATGGCAATAAACAATTGGTTGATTAGTATACATTACAACTTTTTCTTGTAAAACTTTCATTACACATTCAAATTGTAAAATTTTATCTTTATTTTTTTATAATTAAAAATTTTGATTTATAATAAAATTTTTACAAGAAAAAGTTGTAATGTATACTAATCAAACAATTGCTTATTGCCATTTTTGTACTCGAAGCGACAGACTACTATTTTTTGAAGTAAACTTTATAATTCCTTTCTCTCCGTGTAGTAATGAAGTAAATGATATGTGGTATAAAAAATTTTTCAAAACAGAAAAAGAATAAAACTAATTGTATATTATTGGAATAAAATGATAGAATATTTTGTTCATTTTTATGTTATTTGAATTTTCCTTATCAAATATGTACACAGATAGTTTAAACCTCTAGGGAAGAAAGCATCCAAGAGAGAGAAGCAGAAGTTCGATCGCAGGCCATCGGTTGCAATAGGGAAAGTGGAAAGTATGAACGATAGGGGAAGACACGAGGTCGGGGTTGATTGCAAGTTTGTGAAGTGTGTGTGTCGACTAGTTTGACGACGCATTGAAGGGAGTACATAACACCGAGGCCAATGAAAATGTGTGTGTATACATGTAGTAATAGTAACCGAGTGTCATATTCAGCCGATAGAAGCCGAGGTTGGTGAAAAGCAGTACAAGAGAGATGACTCTCTCCAGTGGTTTACGTGTACCTCGTCCCTGGTAAATTTATATGGAAATTTGGCAAATTCGTTCTATACTAGCTCATCTTCTTTCTCTCTCTCTCTCTTGGGGTAAATGCAACATAGAATCGCCTGCTATCGTTCACCTCAGTAGAGACTTGATATTTGTCGAATGAGCCTGTTACTGCCAACTTCTTCCGTTTCTTTTAGGCTCAAAGTCTAACAATTTTAGTGGCCAACATGAAAAATGTATGTTTCAAATGTATTCATTTTGAACATGCATATAGCTGCTTCACTTGAAAGTCAAATGCTTGTTTAACTTTCTAAAAAAATATGATCAAAATTTTTCCTTAAGTTCTCCAGTAAATGAAAAAGTAGATGTAAACATTTTATAATTTATCCATAAAATTCTAAAAAAATCTAATTCAATTATAATTTAAAAGCAAATAACAGTGAATTTCTTTATCTAAATAATAATTGGTCTAAAAAATGGACCACACAATTAATAAATTAAAGTTTAATAATAAAAAAACAATTTTTGTAATAAATATTATTATTATTATTATGTCATTTATGATTATGTGATAATATGACTCAAATTACCGCATTTTAATCTTCATGGAAAATAATGATTTTCAAGTTATATATAAAAATGGTGTTTCAACAAACTTTTTACGTGATAAAAACGACTCAACTATTTTTAAACGACCAATAAAGAATTGAAAAAAAAAATGAAGAAACCCGGTTATTTTAGAAAAACTGATGCAAATGGAGCTGATAATAATTATCGATAAAAAGTAAAAACTCTGTTCGTTATTTAAAATAAAAATCAACTAATAACTTGTTAATAGTTAATTGAACAGTTATTCGTTTTTAAGTTGTGAAAATGATAAATTATTATTTTTATTTATTTCCAAAAAAGGGTCTGTAAATAGTACATGTAACTTATGTAACTTTTGTAACCAAGGACAGTTGAATGTTTGTTAAAATGATAAATTTTCTGTTTCAGCATTCAATGCTTTATTTTTTCCATCACTATGAACTACCGGCTATACTCCAGCAAGCCCATTTGCAGCAAATTCTGTTACGAAATCACGCTCCCACAGCTGCTCAATCACCAACGCCGAGTACAGTTGCTACAACTCCTGGTCCATCAGCTACATCTACTCCTCCAGATAGTCCAGGTCCTTTAACTCCTGCCACGGATCAAACTCAGCAAAATTACATTAGTGAACTCTCTCAGTTGGACTCTGATTCAAACGACTCTCAACAAAATGTTCAGCTTGAAACTAGTAATCCTACGAATGAATCATCAATGACAACACAACTCTCTACTGCTTCAACTACTATTGCTGAAGGTAAGTAGGTCTTTGTCTGTTCAGTTTAGTATTTTTGTTAAGTTCAATAGTTTTGTTTAATAAAAACAATCTAAATCTACATGATCTATTTATTGATAAAAATTTCTGGTAGTCGGTCGGTTTTCATTACTGTGTAAACATTTATATTTGTAAATTACTTTATCATCAGATAATAATGTGTGATTGTTAATAGATATAACAGATGGTTTCAAACTAATTCGTGAATGTCAATACATGAATTATACACTAATGTACATATTGAGATAATGATAAGGTTACCAGCTCTAGCATGTAATCAACAATAAACTGGGGGTGCTAGTATATACGAAGTAATATGCGAATACAGTTTATAGTGTTGGGAATTTGATTTCAGTTATATAATCTGGTAAATTCAAGTTAATTCACAGAAACGAATTCATAATGTAAATTCTAATATACATTCTATTCAACCGCATTTTCGTTGTGTCGTATTTCTTTGTCTATACGTACAATATTCGTCAGAGAAATACAGCTCTTTGATATGGAATAGTACAATTAGATAAAATTTAATAAAAATTCCTTTTCATAATAAACAACACAATAAATTAAAGTGCTTTATTTTAATAATTAATTTTATAGTATGAGTAATAATATTTTCTGACGTTAAATTTTATAAAAATTGTTTTCATTGTTCAAGTTATTAATTTTCTATTTTTAGCTTTTAAAGTGTACTAGATTTTATTTTAGAAAATTATAATAATATCGAGATTTTAGATAATTTTTTCTAAATTTTTTTTTCGCATAGAGGAAAAATTTTTTTTCTATTGTGATTTAATATTGTGTGCCCATACGACGAACTTCTCATCCTCAGAATTTGATTAGAATCTTATTTATCTATATTGTATAAATTTATTGAAATTCGTAATCTTTTCATACTACTTTTTTTATTTTTTTATTTATAAGAAATAGAAATCGATCCCATTACAATACCTTCTAAATGAAAAATAAAGAAAATTATTTTAATATATTTTTTTTGTAACATTAAAAGAGATTGACAATGTATTTTTGAATAATTAATTAATTAATTTTGATATACATAGCGATTGAACCAATAACGGACGCTTTGTCATCTGTCGGAAATCTTCAAGAATCTGACTTTGTGGCATCTACTACTTCATCAACAGATGATATGGTTAATAATTCCCAAATTATAAATTCAAATTCACCAGAACACTCGACATGCGAGGAGTTCGAAGTTATTGATGTTTTAAGTTCTTCTTCGAAAGAAAATAGTCCTCAAACCGAAAGCGCTCCAGATTCTTAGAAGGAACAGTCATCTTTATTTTGATAAAAATTAATTAAAAGAGAAGTTAGAAATGTTTTAGAAATAATTCATAGTTTAACGCCCGACTTTATTATTGTTTAAAAGACAATTGTGAAGCAGTAGTTGAGAGTTTGTTGCTGAAACTAACATTCAAATTTTGAATTGAATTAAACCATTGAGACGTGATACAGAAATTATCAATAACGAATAAAAATGTAATTTATTTACACAGTATATTAGATAATCAACCACCAAGATGACAATTTAAAACTACTGCTTTAAATTTTTTTAGTAATCTAAAATCAAACGATGATATTCCCGGTAGAAACAAAGAAAGATCAACATTCACCTGGACCTTCGTTGGCCCAGTGTTGGACAAAAGATGGCTTAACCTCTGTTTCTGCCAGGAATGCTGTTATATGGGTGACTGAATTTTTTATTGTACATCAGTGTTAAAAATAAGGCAGTTTATTAAGAAATAGAAAAAAATATCGATGCGAGAAAGTTTTTTTAATAAAAGAAAGGGATGAAAGGGGGAAAAAGATAACATGATCGAGTGTGAATGACGCAGCGAGAACATGAGAGAAAAAGAATAAAATCATGTTTATTTTTTATGTAAGTTTTCTTATTTTCGATTCGAATGAGACTATCGAATTTGTAACATAATTTTCTCATTATTTATGTTTTTCAAATGTCTTATTTGGTTGTACATATTGATGATCTTAATAATACATATATATTAATGCATTATATTATATTATATGAATAATAAACGCAAATCTCTTACTGTAAATATCCTTTCCATTTGTACCTTTCATTTGACTACCTTTTACGATTAGCATCATTTTTTATATTTTCTTCAATTTATTACTGTTATTAAGGGATAATGTTATACATAGAAGTAAAAAGTTGTGCTTACAACCGAGTTGTGTTGTACCAGTGATTAGACTATACTATCTTACAAACAAGACATTGTCCTGTCACTATAATAAAATGAGTCCTGTGATAAAAACATCTATAGCAAAGGCAAAATTATTCTAAAGTAATAACAGTACTTATTTTGTCGCAAGAACAACAAATTTAAAACAATTACATTCTAATAAAATACAAAATATTATTATTTCTTGTTTCGCAGAGCAGTTTTTCTCAGTGTTTATGATCTCTTAATAGAAATCAAGGATGTTTATATTATGATAATACAGTTTTAGTGTTTTGAAATGTGATTTTTACATAAATTTATATAAATTGAATCGTTTGGAAAAATAATTTTTCAAAAACTATGAAATGAAAAAGATTGAAATTCATAGCTTGTATTTAACCAATAATTGTTAATGTTAGATGGAGGGAATTTTTTCACTAAATGTAAGTGCAAAAAGTGACAACTCCACGTTTCGAAATTCAGAAATAAAAATATTTCTGTTCAGAAGTAAATTTTGGGTTATCGTAAGTGATTTTTCAGTTATTCTAAGTAACTATTTTACTAAGACACCTATTAAGTATCAAGTTTACTTATGACAAACCAAAATTCACTATTGAACAAAAATAGTTTTATTTCTAAATAAAAAAACAAAATAATAATAATATCTAAATTTCGAGATGTGGACTTGTCACTTTTTGCACTGATATTTAGTGAAAAAACTTTCTTTGTGTACGTCAAAATTTTGGTAATTTCTATCGAGAAATCATGAACGCCTAAAATGATCTAGATTGAACTATTGGCATAAAGTTTCCAAAATTAAAACCCTAGAACTATTTGTTACTTGACTAAAATATTGAATATTTATAATGAACAATCAGATGCTCTTTAATGACTGCTCTTTATATTTTTATCTGTTTAGTTTGATTATTTATAGTTACGAAAATATTTTTATACTTATCATAAAAACATTAAATTATTTCGAATTAATCTATTGCATTATGAACATGAAATTGAACTATTCAATAAATAATATTGATTAAAAATTCGAATCGTATGAAAACAATTTTTGTGTACATTTTATACAATAGTTGAAATAGTGTAAAGTATCGAGTAGATACAATAGACAAATGGCGTGTGCTGATATCGAGAATCAAACAGGTGGTGTAAGGGAATTTGAAGGAAATCCCTTAGGTTTAATTCAGAGAGAAACGCAAGAGTAATAGTCATAGGAGATGGAAGACACGAAATCAATACAAATTCAACAATTTGTATCCATTACAGAATAATTAGAACTAAATTGTCGGAACTCGATGGTGACTGTCAACTTGAGGTATGTCTTTCATCAGCGTTACTTTAGTTCTTTTTTATTTTCTTTTTTTTTTCATACTCCTGATTTTTCTTCAATTCACTTTTCTTAACTTTGACTCATTTTAAATGTGAGTTATATCATTGTTATTCTAAATTTTTTAGAATAGACATATTGTCGAAGTTTCAATCAGTATTTTCAACGTTATTAACAAATTTAACATGTCTAATAAGGGTAATATTTTTGTTCTATACTTAGATAAAGTAATTGCTACCACCATTTCGATTATGAATTTAAAATCTTAAAAAATATCAACGCGACCGGTCTTTTCGTGTAAAATGTTATTTTATAAAAAAAAACTTTAACTAATTTGTGTGGGTGTCATCAAGTTGTATTTATGTTCAGGCAACATTTAGGCTGCTTATTTTTATTGTCATGTGGCATAAGTGAAATTTACTGGAGGACCCGAAAAAAATTAATTTGCTAACCCATTAGAATTTTTAGAGTCTTAAAATTTTTCATTCATTTTTTGCACTTCATCATCTTCTCTTATTACCTTAATTTTTGTAAAATAAACTTGTAAATGAGAGTTGTAAAGGTTTAACAATACAACTACCACACACGTTATAATACAGCCGATCAATTTGATTTTGAATAGGGTTTATTTTGGCAACAAAGGTCGTAATTCTCTAAAGTAAAACACCGTATTTATATAAAACTCTGATGGATCTAAAAAATTTTTTATACAGGTATCTAATAATATAGAATTGTAATGAAAAAATAACTGCCGTTGAAAAATAGTTTTAAAACTAAAATAAAACTTATTCTAATAGTAAATTTGATTTGAAAATTGAGTATAACACAATTGAAAAGTTGAAATATCAAATTTTTATTAATAAAAATCCTCTGAAATAAATTTAATCCTAAAAAATTGGATCGTTTGATGTTTGTTATTATTAATTTTTTATATATTTCAAATAACTTCAATATGCAGGAGTGTAAACACAGTCTCATATATTTATTGTAAAATTTAAACGGTTTTAATTTTTGAAAGAAAATTTTCTATAATTGTGAATTACTCTCTACCAAAATTTTTTTATCTGAACTTGGTACATAAAAAATTTCTATATTTGTATATCAGATTGAAATCAACAGAAAAGCGGAAAATAAATACTAAAAAAAATGGTGAAGTAGAGAATGCCAGGAGATTGTAAAGTGAATATAAGTGAGGGATAGCAAAAATACCGCAATGGAAAAGAGAGTGAATTTACATCTGCAAAGCAACTATCTCGGTCTACTTCATTTGATTAGCTGCCCAAGGGCATCATTCCATTTATGTTTTCAAGTCTGCATGCTTGTTGGTATACGAACTTTTTTATTTTTCAAATCCATTCATTTCCGTGAATTAATTTCTTTTATCTATTTCTCTTTCTCATATATATTTATCTATACATATATATGTATATTTTAAA